TGGAACTGAGGAGTGACCCATGTACTGGTCCGGGGGAAAGACACTGGTCAGAGGAAACAGCAAGTACAGTGACCTTGAGATGTGAGGATTCCCAGTGCTAGGCATGAGCTGTTTTACTCTGGGATGGGTTTTTGAGAAGCATGGCATGATCTGTCACTTTCCTCTGGTTCTTTCTTGAGAATAACCTGCAAAGGGGAAGAGCAGAAGCAAGGAGAGTGGTTATGAGGTTCATTCAAAACTGAGATGATGGTTGTTTGGCTTAGGGTAGTAGCAGGGAGGGTGGTGAGCAGTGATCAGAGTCTGGAGATATTTTGAAGGTAGAGTCAACAGAATTTGTGAAGAGATTTGGTGTGTGGTATGAGAAGAGGTAAAGTTAAGGATGGTTTAGTTGAGTTTTGTCCTGAACTGGGTGGATAGACTTGCAATTTCCTGACACAGGTGAGGGACAGACTTAGAAGCAGGAAGATAGGAAATTTATTCTTGGAAATGTCGAGGTACCTAGTGAATGTCCAGGTGGACAGGGCCCATGGGCAACTGCACTGACAAAAGAAGAGCTCACAGGGGAAGCCTGGGCTAGAGATGTATGATTGGAAAGGTGCTCAAAGTCAGGGGCAGGATGAGCTCACCAGGCTTTAAAGGGAAGATGCAGAAGAGTGCTTGGCACTACAGTGTGTGCAGGTTATGGGAATAAGGGAGCTGAGGTTCAGGGAGAGAGGAGACCAGTGGGGAAAGAGGAGAATGGTGTCCTGGAAGCTAAATAGTAAAAAAAGTATTTCAGGGAGGAAGGAGAATCTGGGTCAAATGCTGCTCATAGGGCAAGTATGGAACTGCAGTCTTGACCATCGGTTTCAGCAACAAAGGGTTTCTAGTGGCCTCCACAAGGGCCTGGTTGGAGTGGGTTTGAGAAAGAACAAGAACAGGAAGAGGGGACTTAGAGGCATCTAATTAGTCAATCTTTTGAAGTGTTTTGCTATAAAGGGGAGCAAAGCAGTGGATTAGCTAGAGGAGGTTGTGGCATCAAGAAGATTTTTTATTTTTTGTTAGAAATGGAAAATATGGCAGCTTATTTATTTGCTGATGGGAGTGATCTGGTGATCTGGAGAAAATTGATGAGAAAGAGAGAGAAGACAATTGCTGAAACTGTTCTTGCCGAGGCAAGAGGATCTAGGACGTGGTGTGCATGTGGTTTGCTCTTCGGTAAGACTGCAGACAGTACGCAGCTAACAGTAGTGAGATGGACCGTGCAGTACAGGTGAGTCACGCTGGGGTGATCAGTGAGCACAGGGTGGCTGTACAGTGGCCTTAGCCCTTCTGGCTTGTGAAATTTATGGCCCACAAACACCTGTACAGAACTGTTGCTGTGACAAATGTGGCCAATTGTCAGCCATCTCAGCTGACAATTGAATAGTTTCCTGTGTTAAAATTGCACTTGGGCATTATTTCAATGAGTAGCTAACTTATATTTAGGTTAAAACAGCTAATCCTAATTGAATTATGTGCATAATCTCTCATTTGATCCTCTCACCAAACCTATGAAGTTGGAACTATTAGTTAACAAATGAGACACTGAGTCAGAGGAAAAATAAGGAACTTGTTCAAGTTCATATGTTAACTTGCTGTTTTCTGACTCTGGGGTTTATTCTCTAACTATAGGCTGTATTGCTTTGTGGGAGTGTTTAGGCTTGTGAAATGTGTAATTTCTGAATGCAGCAAATTAACATTTGATATTATTTGGTTTTATTATGTGATTGTAATCTGAGATTAAATGCTTTTGATAGCTGTGAGCTTTACCCAGCACCCTTTTGGTTTTCTCCCAAAGACTGAGAATTTAAGAGCCTTTTACAGAAATGTTTGAAACTACGCTAGAGGGAAAATCAGTTGACTGGCTGTGGGTAGGCAGAGCGTCATCATTCTTGTGGTGGTTTTCCTTTGTAAGTCAGATTTTAAATTACAAGTTGATAGTAAGATGTTCCATCTATTCCGAAGTGAATAAGAGCACAGGAGTATGACCTTCCATTTCAAAATGGCCAGAGTTGAAATTTTCCTTTGGCTCCTCGCTGGCTCGTGCCAGGCCTCCTGGGCCTGCCCCCCCCCCCCCCCCCCCCCGTTTAAAACCCAGGGGCCGTAACACTGACCTACTGTGGCTGTTGTGAGAACTAGAGATGGCATATTCTCGAGCACAAAGCACAGTCCAGTATTTACTCTGCTATTAAATGGCAGGTGACTAGGTAGCTCCTTTGTTAGTTTGTTAACTCACCGTCCAGGGATGGTAGCCTGGAAGGCTACTAAGTGCACCTTTTTTCCTTGATTACCTTAATTTCCACCTGGAAACTGACTCAGTCAAGCTTTAATTTCAGAAATGTGTCTTCTGTGCACGTTTTAGGAATGATTTACTAATTAGCATTACACAAGGCAAAGCTCTGTAGCAATACACCATGTTTATTATGAAAAAAAGGTTCAGAATGTGCTGTCTGACCGGAAAAATGGAACTGTCCCAGTGAATCTGGAACGTATGGCTTACTGGAAGCTTGAGGCTCTGGCATCCTCTTGGGTGTGGAGGAGCCTCCCTGCATTCTTTTTACATTTTCTCGTCATCTGGTCACTTAATCCAGGTATCAGTATATTGTCTAGACTTTGGTTGCATGAATTCCTTTCAGTGGAGATGGGAAATCCATGTATTAAAATTAAGCATTGCTTTCTTCTTCCTATGAAACATTGAATGGATGGTTAGAGAAAGAATTATAACTGGGATTATTGGTGCAGCCAGGTGTTCATGGGCCTTGGACAGTAAGTCAGAGTGTGGAGCAGCCTAGACAAAGCGAAGGTTCTTTAGTTGCCTGCATTGCCACCCGAACACATATTAAACAAATCGTACTGCCAGGAGACCCCAGAAAGAATAAAATCTTCTTTTAGAGTGTACTGGGAATGCCAGGTTGAGTGTGAAGTTCTTATCCTCAGGAATTAATTTGGGGTGAGCTTTGTCCGTGCACATCCTAGATCCCTGTTTATCCTTTACTACCCTCCATCGCTCCACTCCTGTGGCACCTGAGTTCATTCCGTAAACTTCCGAGTTGTTTCCCTGAACCAGAATTCCCAAAGGTATTCACCAGAGACAGTGGTAGGGAAACCCATCTATCTCTGTGTCTGTGCTTACAGTACCGCCCAGTGTAGGTCCTGGGTGAAGACACGGAGCACCTCTCGCACAGGGACCCCGCTGCTGAGTAACTGTGCTCCCGCACCGGGGTCAGGCTTCACCGTCTCTGGGAGCGGACGGTCCCAACTCCTTCTCTGCCTCACAAATACTTACGTCCCTGTTACTTTCTCTGTGCATTTAGTAAAAAGAGATGTTTCTTTTAGATCCATGGGTCATTATAAGTGGCATAATGATTACAAACATGTACTCAAATTTCCAAGTTGCATAATGCCTTTATTTGTCTTCTGGTACTTTACACATTGTTTACAGTATTTAAAAAGCAGGAGAATAATGGAAACATAGTGATTCTATAATGATATTTAAAAGTATAGATTGTAGGTTCATTTATAGGTCTCAAAGTCCATTGGATGACACACATGCAGTTTTATAAGTGAGCAGTATTTGTGAATCATATGTTTTCAGGGTACTTTAACAGACCACAGGACTAGTCTTAGGCTAGAATTATGAAGGTGGGGAACTGTGTAATTCATACTGTCAGATTTCTATTTCCATGCTTTCTTTCCTCATCCTGTTGCCCCCTCATTTCCTTCAGTATCTGCTGTCTTCTGCCTTCACGGATAATGGTTCATTTCATGTATTATCTCTCCCAAGGACAATTGCATTTTAGCAAACATAATACTCACATTGACCAGATGAGGGGAATGAAGTTCTAACAGTGAGATTCAGTTGAACATGTAAGTGGCCACCCATGTTGTCAGACGGACCCCAAATACACTTTCATGTTCAAATGAGTATCTGTGTCCTGTAAGGAACATGGTGCAAAATGACAGTACCACTTGCCCTTGACTAACTAGTACCTGTGTGTTCAATTTACAGATTGTTATTTCTTCTTTTTTCCCATTTCCTCACTTTCTGAAAGTGTTCTGGGATCTGGGGGACATGACACGATGTAGCAGAGTGAATGTGTGAGAACTAGAGCAGCACTGGGTCTGTGTCTGAACTTCACAGGTATCGGACCACAGACATGTACTTTCCGAGTCTCCGTTTCCTCAGCTGTAAAGTATGATTGTTAGGGTTGTTACGATGCAGAAAAGGTATATAAACTCCAGTGTATAAATTATAGGCCATGGGAGATGTAACATAAAGTAGCTATTGTAAGTAGTATAAACTCTAGGATTCTAAAAGGAAAAAAAATTTAAAGATAAGAAAAAAATTCCTTCTACATAATAGCAACTTTGTTAAAAGTTTGCAGCAGGTGTCAGCTAAGCAATAAGTAATTAATTGGGAACATGTTTTAGTTATAAGCAAGCTAGGTATTGTTCATGGAAACTTTATGTTCTCAAATATGTAAATGAGATATAAATGTTCCCATTGTAATAAACTTTAAAATAAAAAAAACATTTTTTAAAAAGATTTTCTTTCTTCATTTTTAGAGAGGGGAAGGGAGAGAGAAAGAGAGGGAGAGAAACATTAATGTGTGGTTGCCTCTTGTGCGCCCCCTAGTGGGGACCTGGCCCACAACCCAGGCTTGTGCCCTGACTGGGAATCAAACTAGCAACTCTTTTGTTCATAAGCTGGCACTCAATCCACTGGCTGAGTCACTTCAGCCAGTGCTGGAATAAACTTTTTTTTTTTAAGTAAAAAGGTCCTTTGAACACAGAGTTACCTAAGTATATTTGAGAAGTGATTAGAGTTCTCAAAATGCAGTACTTATGAGATGGTTCAGAAACATACTTATTATGCAAGCCGAGGTGCAGTCTTGTGAGGCGGGCACTTTGTGCCTGTGCTGTGTCCTCCTGGGTTCTCTGGTTCACAGGTTCCTACAATTCTCTTTTTCACTCCACAGACTCGCCAGTAAAGAGAAAGAAAGAGTATGAGCTGGTGACTCCAGTCAGTACAAATCAAGAAGGACACTATCTCTCCCATATTCTTTCTGCAAACCACAAAAAGAGATCAACGAGGGACGTGTCTTCCAACTCTGAGCAATTGTTCTTTAACATCACAGCGTTTGGAAGAGATTTTCATCTGCGACTAAAGCCCAACACCCAGCTCATAGCTCCTGGCGCTGTTGTGGAATGGCATGAAACATCTCCAGTGCCCGGGAGTACATCCAGCCCTGTTAATGATCATCAACCAGGAAGTGCTTCTGAGAGAATCTGGAAAACAGAGCCTTTGCAGACTAACTGTGCTTACGTTGGTGACATCATGGACATTCCAGGAACCGCTGTTGCCATTAACAACTGTGATGGTCTGGTAAGACTCATTCCCTTTGTGTGTGTTTGTTTGCAGGCGTTTGGGAGTGTGGCATGGCTTCAGCATGGTTGGGAAGGTGCAGGTGGAAAGAAGCCTCATTATTATATTTTGCATTTAGGAAGAAGCAGGCAAAAGCATTTTATTGTCAGAGATGTGTGCTTTGGCTTAATTTGGACCTGAAGACAATGTTATTCCAAGAAACAAAAGACAGCTATTTTAATAGGGTTTTTTTTTTGGCTTATATTTTTACTTGTGTTACACTGTGGAATTTTATTTTCTTTTTCTTTCAAAGTGTTCTGAAAACTTTGTAAAGAAACTTAGATTCCTCCAAAATGATAGTATTACACTTATGTGGAAACTTTTGATATCTTCCTAAAGTATTTTGAAAGCATTCTTTAGCTTCCCCACAGAATGCTAAAATGGGAACTCAGCAGATCTGTCAGAATTTGTTCGAATAGCATTACTTTATGAACTGGACATAGAGTTGTCTGTGTGGCGACTTTGATGCATTTTAACCTTTCCCTTCGAGTAAAATACCCATATGTTGCCCTTCAGTTGTGTGGTGAAACCACGTAATAACCGACCCTTATTTACACACGGTGCAGATGTGAAGTATTTTTATTTGTCTTGTAGCTCTACATGTTATTTGAAAAGTGTGTCAATGTTTATGCCTCTTCTATCCACAGTTGACTTCGACTCTTTGTTTAAAATGAGCAACCATTTTTCCTTCCTGTGGTTGCCAGGCTTCTGCTGTTTCTTGGGAGTTCAGAGCTTTTCCCTTTGTTTTGTCGCTGCTTCTGAGAGTTCTCCGAATATTCCTTACACTTCGCTTATGATTTTTCTGCCTTGGCTGGCCCTCCACCAGTACTATGAAAATGCTGCTGTTGTCCTCTCTGTGCCTAAGACCAAGGAGTTAGGATACCCTGTGTTTTATCAAGTGCTGTTGGGTTCCTTGTTTCGGGCTTGATTTTTCAGTCTTGCACCACCCCATGATGTTCTGTAGAAATTTAAAAGCCAGTCCAGAAAACTGAATAGAATATGTGCGGCAGGTCTGACTCTCCGAGTTGGATTCCTTTACTTTAGGATCCATATCCTCATATTTGGGCTTGGACCATGTTTTCGGGCTTAAAGACATAAGGGATCTCTCCAGTTCTTCTTATTCTACATAAAGGTTGATTAGACTTGAGTTAACTAAGTTATTGAGGTTTAAAGTACTAACTGAGAGAGCTGGATTTAGTACTGCAAAGACATAGAAATAAGTTATCGTAGAAACTTATTTCTACGTAGAAATAAGTTATCGAAAAGGGTACTGTTTTATAAAACTTTTAAATAAAATGTACTAATTAGAAAGCTTAATTCAGCATTTTTTTTATATTTTAAGCATAAGTAATATTATGTGCTTTTTATCTCCTCAGCTCAGACTTGAAACTTTGATATTGGCTTAAAAATCAGTTTAAGGGAGGCAAAATGCAAGAAAATTTTATAATGGATTATCACAGTGATTTTGAAACCCAATTTAGCAATGTTTTACTTTTATTGTACATGTGAGATTATGTAGATTCGGAAATCTGGGGCAATAAAACTTTGTGACAAAAAAGAAAAAATCACTATAAATTGTGATTGAAATTTTAGGTTTATTTAATTTCTCATTTTAAAGATATGACATTCACTGTTGATATCATGTATGTGTAGTATATGTGTATGCGTGCATGTATATGTATAGTATATGTGTATGCGTGCATGTGTGTACACAGTACACTACCAGTGTGCACTACAGGTATTAATTTATTCCACTTGTTGGTCTGATCAATGAGTTCATTAAAAGTTTCTGTAGGAAGCCAGTTGTAGGTCAAGCACTCTTCTGGGCACTGTGAAGTGCTGAAAGGAATAACCACAGTCACCAGGCTCATGGGACTCAAAGATGTTAAATATGCCACAGAATTTAAGTATCAAAATATTTAAAAATACATGTATATGTTTAGATGTGTATGTACATACATGTGGGAATAGAGATGCATAAGTCATGTTTAACTTAAACACTGTGGTTAAAGGGGGTATTCTGTAGGGAGGTTTTTTGAATGGGACGGTTTCAACCCAGAGAAAAGTGGCCCAGGCCTTGCGTTTGATCCTGCAAAAGGGTAGGTCTGGCCTGTAGCAGGCAGTGCTGACGCAGAGGGTGTGCGGAAATGGAAGTCTTTTCTTGAGTTTCCAGTGCATGGCGGCAATGGAGGGAGACTGCAGATGTTGGCAGGGACAGGAGCAGGGTATTGAAAGCTGGTCATCTACGTGACTTTGTGCTCTGTGACTTCGAAATGGACAATACTCTGAGACAGTTAATTTATATTAAGAAGAATGTTTTATTTAAAAAAATACAGTGCTACTCAAAGTATGTCCACTGACTCAGGTTTCCAACAAGATAAATATAGAAAGTGAGACTATATATAGAAACTGTCATAGCAATTTGACAGTTACTGTATTTGTATTGGTTCTAATAACAAACAAAGTGGATCTCCCTTTTGACCCAGCAATCCCACTTCTGAGAATATATCTGAAGGAGCCCAAGACACTAATTTGAAAAAACATAAGCACCCTGTGTTCATTGCGGTGTTATTTACAGTTGCTAAGACGTGGAAGCAGCCCAAGTGTCCATCAGTAGCTGAGTGGATAAACAACTATGGAACATTTACACAACAGAATTCTACTCAACCATAAAAAAGAAGAAAATTTTACTCTTTGCAACAGTATGAATGAATGTGGAGAAAATTATTCTAAGTGAAATAAGCCAGGCAGAGAAAGACAAATACCATATGATTTCACTCATATGTGGAATCTAATGAACAAACTGAATTACCAGGCAACAGACTGATAGAAGGAAAGCAGATGACAGTTGTGGGGCAGTTAGGGGATGGAGGGATCGAGCAAAAAGGCGAAAGGACTCATGGACGTGGACAACAGTGTTGTGATTGCTGAGGGGAAGAGGGTATAAGAGAACTAAATGGTAATGGGAAAAATACGATAAAGTTTAAACTAAAAAATGAGGCTGGGGTTTTGTGCCTTGTATTTTATTTTATTTTTCTAGTAATTAATTTTTACTGTATTATACAATTGGGGAGAAAAGAAACTCTTTCTTTACCATAGACAGTTTGGAAAGCAAGCAGTGATTCTCAACTCTTGACCCCTCTGGACACCAGAGACTTGACTGTAATAGGTAGAGTCTCTCTGTTCCAGGTAACTGTGAAATGATCAGAGAAATGCTGCTTTAAGGTAGACATTATTGGAGAGGACAGAAAAATTCCTTGAGTGATGTTTCCAGAGCTACAGTATAGAATGTGATCTAGACCTAGGCATGCTTAATAACTAACATATTGTTCTTTGGGTTTCTGAAATCATCAAGTCTTCTGCACAAAGGAATTGATGATGATTTTCACCTTATGTGCCCGAGAACAATATCTGTTCCTGTGTAGCATGACCTTTTCCTATTCTTTGCCAAGATCGCCACTCATGAGTGACTGCTAATTCTTTACCAGTTACAACTCTATTCTTATTGGTCTCAATCATAGGTAAGAATTATTGAGATATCCAGTCGTAGACTTGTCCCTGCTGTCTGACAGTATCCGACCTAGAACAAAGCTCTGCTTCTCTAGACCCTTCCCCAAATCACCCACCCCAAACCTAAATCCTACTAGTAGTTTTTTTTTCCTTTTACACTTTATTACTGAGATGCTGATGGTTCTCTCTGGTGTGCATTCTCCCTCCATGCAACTTGTATTAAACCCAGCTTGTCACCTGTTGATGTGCTCCACCCCTCTGCTTCTGCAACCTTGAGGTGTGAGTCCAGTGGTCAAGAGTCATGGTGATGGCAGGCATTCCCCACTCTCCTCGGTGGGAAGACACTTCAGGATGAGAATATCAGCTGAAAATAGATTTCTTTATTCCACAGAGCCCTGGCATTTGCTCTCTAATACCAGCAAGTCTCCCCTGCCAGTAGCAGCATCTCACAATCATAGTTTGTGGTCTATAAATTTGCCAAAATGAAGGATTGTTGGGTTAGTAGGTGTTATGTATTTCATAACATAAAGAAACTGGATTTTTCCAGGCTTACTAGAACAATGTTGCTTTGTTAATTCTCCTGGATTGTTGTTAGAGGAAGCAGTTGGGGGTGGAAGAGTTGACTGGTGAATGGCTCTTTGGGGTTATCCAGTTCAGTGACTTCTTCATGGTTGATCAAGGGAGTTTATCTAGGACAGAGGTTTTCAACATTTTGTTTAAACATCTGGAGTTCTTCCATCCAGTGAAATCCCGGTGGGTTATCTAATAACACATAAAATGGATAAATTCAAGAAAGGCCTGATCAGAACACAGGTGCGCGGTTTGTTCTGCCCGGTGTCTCTTCTTCCTGCCTTGTTCCACTCTAGAACACTCCTGGGGCATCCAACAGGCATCTTCACTGACAGGGTAGGAGGTCTTGGAAGCTCGAGGTTAAAAGTTGGGAACCATGAACAGAACCTTTATTGCTAAAATATACGTTAGTTACATCTGGTGAATGCTGGAGGCATTTCATGCCTTTTAGATTTGGGACATGGACAAATGAAGTCTTTGTGGACTACTGCTAACTTTGAAAGAAAACAGCCTTAAGATTTCCCTGCCTTAAGACTTTTACTTTAGGTTTTTTTTGTCCCTTCTAAAACATGTTCTCGTCCTGCCTATTTCAGTGAGTCTAGCTGTATACGCACGTTTTAAGTAGTCTATTTAAAAAAAGTATTATGAGATAGTGTACCTGGGATTGAGAACATTTGACCAGTGATTGTAAATACAGCTCAATCTGGCACATGCAATGTCTGATACTAACAAAAGAAACAATGTTGTAGCTATTTATAATGGATTTAGAAAAGAGGGTTTTCCAGGCCTGATCTGTAGATGCTGACATTTGAACATCTGTTTTTAGAGAAGAACCTGATCGCTAACAGCCAGTCCCTTCCCACCTTTTCCTTCTGTGGACC